TCGGCTCATCCCTCCTCTCTTATAAGCACGTATACTGTAATCTACTCTGGACACTCCGGATTCTCCGTGACCAAGGATGTTCATTAAAAAACGGAGGACTTCTTTCAGTTTGTCAGTACAAACAGTTACACGATGACCCTTACAAAGTCAAGAGTGAACGCGTACGACTAGACCGTAGGAAATTTTCCTTCAGCCAGCGGGATGTCCGACCATGGAACTCGCTGCCATGTGAGATGGCGACGGTCGACACAATTTGCATGTTTAAAAGAAAACTTTCTCGCTTGATTTTCGACAGAAATCGGCTTTTACAATATGACTACTAACAGCCAGCTCTATCAAACACTCTTTCATACACAATCTTTCCGTACTGACTTACAGTGAACAGATGCGCTTCCTTATCATTCCGAGTGTACTGTGACCCGATCGCATTGCAAATATCTGTAACTGCATTGTACATATTTATGGCCATAAAAGGGCTCTGCCTATAACCCTCGAATATATGTACATACATCCTGGCGTAATCGCTGAATAAGTTCTTTAATGGATAGAACACTTGATGTTCACCAAGTATCAACCAAAGTTCTGGGCTCGCTATGGCGATGACACCTTCGTCGTTGTCAAAACAACTGACATTGAGCACCTAAAGGTACTACTGAACGCGGTTGACCCCGATATCCAGTTTACGATGGAAGCCTAAACGAACAACAAACTATCCTTTCTTGACGTGCTTGTGCGCCGGTGTACAACTGGACAACTGCCAACCGCAGTATTCCGAAAATCTACCGACACCAGACAGATCCTACAATTCAACAGCAACCATCCTCTGTATCACAAACGTAGCTGTGTCCGCACTCTATTCCAAAGAATCGATATACACTGCAGCACGCCAGAAGATAAAAGAGGCGAACGATCGTAACTTCAGAATCTATTTGCAGTCAATGGTTATCCTAGACATTTTATCCAGAGAAAAAGACATCGAGCGAACAGACGACGGCCAAATGAGCATCAATCCGAAGTCTGGAGGACCATCCCCTACGTTAAAGGGGTCTCTGGGGTGGTCTCTCGACTGTTACAACCTGCCGGATTAGGCATAGACAAACGACTCCAGGCAACAATTAGACGCCGTCTTATGCAACCTAAGGGCCCATTGCCACCCGGCGAAACCTCTCCAATCATCCACAAAATAAATTACAATGAGGGCGTTTGCAACTATGCGAGAGAAACCGGGCGGGAATTGTAGACTCGTCTGCAAGAGCACAAACCGCCCACTCAGAGGTTAGACCCAAACTCCCAACTAGCAACACACATTGGAGAAGCTGGACATACTTTCGATCATCAGAGGGCTATCATCCTAAGCCGGGACAATGCAAAATCGGAACGGCTAACACTCGAGTCGAGGTGCTCTGACGTCCACTCCATCGACAGGCGTCTGGACCTTCCTGCAGCTTACAAAGTCCTACGTCATCACAATCGTAGAGCGCAGGACCAAACAACAACAACGGCCATACGGAGGCAGCCCGACGGCGAGTTTACTCGTTAAGGAAATGAGAAACCGCCAGACCGACCACCCGGCAGAGGTTCCATCACCTCCCCCCGACCGAGTAGTGAATCACAACGCACGCAGACAGAACGACGTCGACCATCCCCCGAGAGGCCGGGGCAGCGAGAAGAGAGAAAAATCGATCAGCACGAGGCCGACCAATGTGACACGCCACTTGGGACATCTGGTCGATTAAGTGCATTTTACGCTTTGACAATAGAGATCCGACCAAGCTCTTCGAAGCGTCAGCATCTAAATAAACCCGTTCC